GGGGAGCCCAGCCACACACCTCTGCCCACCTCATCCAGGCCGGGCCCCTCCCCGCTTCCCCACAGGGACCGGGACCGGGACCGCGAGCGGGAGCGCAGGGAGAGAAGCCGCGAGCGAGACAAGGAACGAGAACGGCGACGCTCCCGCTCTCGGGACCGGCGGCGGCGCTCACGGAGTCGCGACAAGGATGAGCGGCGGCGATCCAGGGAACGTAGCAAGGACAAGGACCGGGAACGGAAGCGGCGAAGCAGCCGAAGCCGTGAGCGGGCACGACGGGAGCGGGAGCGCAAGGAGGAGCTGCGTGGTGGTGGAGGTGGTGGCGACATGGCAGAGCCCTCTGAGGCTGGTGATGCACCTCCTGATGATGGGCCTCCTGGGGAGCTGGGTCCAGATGGCCCTGATGGTCCAGAGGAGAAGGGTCGGGATCGTGACCGGGAACGACGTCGCAGCCACCGGAGTGAGCGGGATCGGCGCCGGGACCGAGACCGAGACCGGGATCGCGAGCACAAGCGGGGGGAGCGGGGTGGTGAACGAGGCAGGGATGAGGCTCGAGGTGGGGGTGGAGGTGGCCAGGACAACGGGCTGGAGGGTCTGGGCAATGACAGCCGAGACATGTACATGGAGTCTGAGGGAGGCGACGGGTATCTTGCTCCAGAGAACGGGTATTTGATGGAGGCTGCACCAGAGTGAAGAGGCCTCACTTGTTTGGACGTATTCCTACCCATCCCATTGCTGTCATCCTCTACCCCCCAGCCTTCTTGGTCACCACCTAAGTTTGCCAGCCAAGGGTAGGAGTCTCCTTATTTGTTCTAGTTCCTTGGATTTAAAAATAAAATTAATTTCCTGTTAATGGGCACCTTGGTTTCTTCACTGCTCTTAACATCTTCCATAGAAGGTTGTCTTTCGACTTGATAACCCTGCTTCGGTTTGTGTTACAGGGCAGGCAAGCCGCCCTGAGCTTTACGGCCTGAGGCTAGGGATATCTCAGTACACCAGAGTTGTTTAAAATGGGGTGAGGAAGGACTCTGTGAAGATCCTTAATCCCTTTGTGCAAGTCCCCCCTCCTTTTTTTAACCTCTTCCACATGTAACTTTTAACTTAGCTTTTGGGGGTTGAGAGCAGGTGGGCTTTAGGTATTTGATTACTCAGTGGAAGCTGCAAATTTGAAAGTGTGAAGGGGAAGCTGTTTGAATTGGAGAGCAGGAGAAGGGTGAAGAACCATGAGAGCGAGACACACGGATGAGAAGATTGGGTGGAGCGGGAAGTCCACACGGGGCCAGATGGAAAACCACCTACAGTTTATAATGGCAGGTTCACCGTGTTTTAATTGCTATGTCCTAATGACAATAGAGTCATAACAAGCAAGAAACAGAAGAGGTTCCATCAGCAGTTGAGATTTCAGCACATTCCTGGATAAAAGGTTAAGCAAGACAGTGGTGAAAACACTTCAGTCTGATGGCCCCTTGAGAAGGAAGCCAGTCTGGACCCTAGAGGCTCAAGATTTCAACTCCCAAGTATAAGAAGGACAAGAGACAAGGTGGACTTTGAACACAGCAGTGGCCCTTTGTTTCTCCCAGGCACTCAAGATGCCTGGGAGCTGGACATTTGCTGCCTAGAACATAAAAGCCAGGACCTACTTTAATGTTGAAGTTTTTCAGTCTAAATAAAAACTTGCCCTGATAACCCAGAGACAGTGTGTCAGTTGCATCTGACTGACATGCTCAGGGATCCTAGTATGCTTTCTAAATGCCTTGGTCTTCAGAAACAACCACAAATCAGGCATTTGAAAAAGTCCTGCAACAAGAGACCATAAGATCCTGGAAGATCCTGGTCCTGGAAGAAACAACTTAGGGAATGAAAGAGAACTTAATGCCTCTAACTAGTATATTTTTTATAGATATCTCATATGCTGCAACTAGACTTCAGGGATTGGCTATGAAGACTTCTAGCTTGGCACAGACCAGTTATAAAGACTGAATAGAATATATACAACAACTTGTGAAAAGTGTTAGAGGGTAACCAATGTAGGTGAGACTTTGAGGCAGTTGATCCCTAAGAAAAGGAAAGCACACAGGTGAATTTCATGTCTACCTTTTTCTTTGACATTTGCCAATTTAACATGGGGTAATAGACAAAGTGGCAGTTCTGTAGGGCTGAGTTCGGAGGTTGGACCAGACAGCTGGGGCTTGGGAGTAAAGGTTCCATGTGGAACCATTGAGCTCCCAAATCTTTATACAGTCAAGGTATTTGCCAACTAATAAGTTGCTCATTTTCATTGCAAGACCCAAGGTTCTCGTGAGAAAGTAATAATGGAAGCTAAGGAGTTGAGCAGAAATCAGTAGCCATGGATATCTTGGGAGGAGAGTTTAGGGCTCAAGGCCTGCCAAGGCGAATGGCTGTGCTTGAGATCACCAGAGTGCGACAATATTGGAGTAAGGCTACAAGTGAAATACACCAGGTCTCAAAGATTTAGATCTGTCTTCCAGAAGGAAGTAACCCTCTGAGAAGGTTATCATTCGGAGTCTCGAGTTTTAGTACACAATGTTCAGCATCTAGTTGTCATCAGGCATGTTAGATGATAGGAATTACTGAAAACCAAGAGAGAGAACACAATAGAAACATGCAGGCATGATTCTGATGTTGGAGTTATCATAGAAAAACTTCACAAAATCAAAATAAGGAAAAAATGGAGAAAATTTTAACAGTCCTAGAATCTTAAAATCAAATGGAAATTTTACAACTGGAAAATTACAGACATTAATAGCTTAGGTGCATTAGGTAGTTGATTAGATAAGCTGACACATCTTGTTAACACTAGAAGTGCTAGGGGAATAAAAATGAGATGAAAGAGAAATCTAAAGGTCTTTTTAGGAAGTTAACTGAATATACTTCCAAATGAGGGATTTAAAATAGGAAACAACACAGTTCAGCACAGCAGTGGACAAAGTCCCAGCATGGCAGTTTTCTAGAGAGATGCAGGTTGGGGTCAGAGGACTTAAGTTTCTGAGGAGTTTCAGGCTAAAAGGAAGACTCAGTAACATACCTGTTGTGATAGAGAGTTGGAAAAAAATTGAGAATGTAATGAAAGAAACAAGCCACGTGGGGAGGGTGGGGAAGCTCTTCAAGAAAGGAAAAGGAAATGGGATCACAGGACACTACCTGGGCTCTACAGTAAACAGTAAGTACAATACTTAAGACATAATGTAAGCACTTTATTGATTGATCTCAAAACTGGTACCATAAAACTACTGTGGGAAGAAAGGGGAAAGGTGGTAAGAGCAGAAAATCAATATGTTATATAATATATTACAACTAAAATTGATAAATTGAGAAATCACAAGTTACTTAGATACAGAAGCAACTACCAGATTAAACACCTATTAAATTGCCTCTTGCAGTGGGCAGAGTTAGGACTGGCTGGTACTTTTCAGTATTAGCCCTTCTGTATTACTTAATTTTGTTTTTAAAATCAAGTAAGTAGCCCTGGCTGTTGTGGCTAAGTGGGTTGAGCATTGGCCTGAGAATCGAAGGGTTGATTCCCAGGCAGGGCACAGGCCTGCGGTGCAGGCCAGGCCCCCATTTGGGGGCCCTGCGAGAGGCGGCCAGTTGATGCTTCTCTCGCACATTGATGTTTCCCTCTCTTCCTCTCCAAAAATAAAATCTTTTAAAAAGTCAAGTAGATTATTTTTGTTAAAGTAGAAAAAAATAATATGAAGGAGATAGGGAGAGAGAAAACTTCCATACTTCCTCTGACTTTGCAAAAGCCCTTTTCCAGACTGTACCCCCACCCAGCCAGTGGTGGGGCACAGCCAGACCACAGTTCCTAAGTTTCTTTGGCCCCTCTATAGCATCTGATACAGCCACCTATTTTCTTTTTAAAAACCTTTCTCATGGTTTCTCTCACCTGACTTTCCTCCTCTTTTCTGGCCATTCTTTGTTTTCTTCCAGACTTTAAATGTTAGGAGTTTTGGTGACTCAATCTTAGGTCCTCTTCCTTCTATAGTCTTCAGCATTCCTATTCACTCCTATGATTTTCATTACCACCTTTGCTCAAATTCTCAAAAATGTTGGCAGGCCTTGGGTGCTTGACAAGGCTCCTCAAATTCAAAATATCTAATATCCCTCCTCCAGCGTAAACAACCTGAGTAAAGGGCTCCACAAGCACCTTCATATCCCTTCTCCACCTCTAGTCCTCATATACGGTGAGTCACTAAGATACATCGAGACATTTCCAAGTCTGTCCACCTATCCTTTCCACTTCTACCCTGGTCCCAGCCCTCAAGGGAGACTCAGCCTCCAGACTGGTCCCCTGCCTCCACTTCTGCTCCCATCCAATCCAGTCAGCAGACGGCGGTGGCCACAATGGTCTTCCACTACACATTTGACTGTCACATTTTACTCTTTGAAGTTACTGTAAGTTCAAAATCGTCAACATGCATGTGCCAACTCACAAGTCCGTGCATAAACTGTATCCTGCCTACCTTTTCGTCATCATAAACCACTGCACTCCTTACTCTGCTGTCCAGCTACGTGGGCTCTTTCTGCCTGGAAAGTGACCCACATCCCACCTTTTGATCTTACCTTCAAGGACTCTGTTAATTTCCTCTCAGATGATCATCCCCCCTCCCAATTCTGAACGCAGTCGTAGTTGGTTGTCTACCTCCTCTCCACCATGGTATGGGGCAGTGTCCATCACCTTGGGCCCAGATGTTTAACATACGTTTGTGCAGTGAACGGGGACAAAAGGGATAGAGGAGGCAGACAGGTTTGGAGGGCAGGACAGACTGAGATGGAAGGAGGGGCACATGCTTGAATAGGAGGGGTCGCAAACAGGACAAACCAATGGGGGTTGAGGGCAGGGTAGCCAGACGGGAGTGGCAGTAGGTGTGGCTGCCACAGCGCCCGGAGCGAAGCGCAGGCGGGACGGCGCCTCCACAGGGGGCGCCCGTCGCCAGGGGCGTGGCCTCGTGAAGCCCCGCCCCCCTCGCTGGTGACCGGGCTGGCAGGCGGCTCTCAGTGGCGGCGCTGACATGGCTGCGCTGGTGGAGCCGCTGGGGCTAGAGCGCGGTAAGCGCGCCAGGGGGCCCTGCCCACCCGGCCGCGTCCAGCGTCCCGGACCGCCGGACCCGCCCCTCCCCCGGCAAGGCCCGGGCGGTGGGTGGGCGGGCGGACGGACCGGGCGGGGGTGGGCGGGGCGGGGCGTCGTGAGTCTGGCTGTTGTCGGGTGTGGGAGGGTCCGTGGGCGAGCGAGCCTGGGAGGGGCGCCCGCTGCACACCCCTGCCTGGGTGTGTATGGGGATACTGGGGACGCAGGGCGCCCTTGCCACCGGGTGTCCGCGGGTGTCCGACCGGGACTCGACTGTCCTTCCTGGGGTCTGTCTGCGCTCGCCCTTCCTCGGTCTCTGGCCGCATCTCTCGGTGCTCCTCCGCGTTTTGGTGTCTCTGACTCTGTCTACGCGTCCGCCCCCGCCCCGCAGATGTGTCCCGGGCGGTGGAGCTCCTCGAGCGGCTCCAGCGCAGCGGGGAGCTGCCCCCGCAGAAGCTGCAGGCCCTCCAGCGTGTCCTGCAGAGCCGGTTCTGCTCTGCTATCCGGGAGGTGAGCGCTGCGCGGCACGGGGGTACAGACGGCAGCCACCACCTTCCTGGTTGCCCCGAGCCCCGGGACTACGCCTCCCAGCAGTGCCGGGGGCAGCCCGCCTTGAGGTGCCCGTGCGTCAGGTCCGGGATTCTTTGGGAGTTGTAGTTTCCTTTGACTCCAGGTTGCGGGGGCAGGATGGTTCCTTGGGTGGGAGAGTCTGCAGGCCTGAACTCCTGTGTTGAAGGGAGGAGGGGGCTGGCGGCTCCGTGATGCTGCTGTGTCCTCACCAGGTGTACGAGCAGCTCTATGACACGCTGGACATCACTGGCAGCGCCGAGATCCGGGCCCACGCCACAGCGAAGGTAGGCACCCCCCACCCCATTGCCCGTGGCATCCACGGAGCTTCTAATGTCAGTCATTCCTGGTTCCTCCTTCATGATTTTTGTCAAAACTCTGTACCACCCTTACTATTACTTACAATTTATCTTAAGAAATCTCATATTTTTAACTTAAATGTCATATAAAGAAAGGCATCTTTAGCAACTACAAATTGAAACTAGTACTGCATGCCGGACAAGGAGATAATCTTAAACACCTATACAATGAAAACAATGAAATATCAATAAACACCGAAATCTGATTAAACTATAGTCAGGTGCTATTTCTCACTGCTTCCTGGGAGATCTCAGCTTCTTCCATGCCTTGTTTTTCTCTGTTAAAAAATGAGACTGTCAAGTGTTGAGTAGTCAAGATACATTCACACCAAATGAAGACTTTCTGTTTGACGTGTCTGAACCATCTAAAGGGAACCAATAGGGACACGCGGTCATTAGGGAGTGACCTTCTGTTGAACTGTGGCAGGCGCCTCATGCTTGGGAAGAGCTGTCTGGCCTCAATAGCCCTCCCTTATCCCCAGATCCTCCACCCCTGTCTACAGGGCCACCATGGAGGGGACCCTCCCCAATGCTTTCTCTCTCCCAGGCCACAGTTGCCGCGTTCACAGCCAGTGAGGGTCACGCACATCCCAGGGTAGTGGAGCTGCCCAAGACGGACGAGGGCCTGGGCTTCAACATCATGGGGGGCAAGGAGCAGAACTCGCCTATCTACATCTCCCGTGTCATTCCTGGAGGTGTGGCTGACCGCCACGGAGGCCTCAAGCGTGGGGACCAGCTGCTGTCTGTGAATGGTGTGGTGAGTGGAGAGCTGAGGCAGGGCTGGTGGGAAGGGTCACAGTTTCCGGCATTTATTTAACACACGCTGACTAAGCACTGCCTCTGTATCCAGCCACGTGCTGGACACTGCTGTGGACCCTGAGGAAAGCTGGCCTCTGTTCTTACCTTCGAGAACTCCCTCTCTGATGAGGGAGATAGACCTAATCCAGGGAGACAATAATGAGGAAGCAAGAATCATTGTGATGTGGCACCAGACCAGGGTAGAGAACAGAACATTTTGCAGAGGCAGGGACATTTGAGTTGGGTTTTGAAGGATGAGTAGTTCTCCAGGCAAAAAAGGTGGAGAAGGTGTTACTCTCGGAGGGTGTTGGAGGTGGGGGCTGTGACACTCCTGTGAGACAAAGAGAAAGGACTTGGTTCTGATGGAGGGCTGGGCCATGCAAGTCGTTCAAATCACTACTTAGACTAGACGGAGGCACAACTAGATGGGTGGTTGGGGCCAGCTTTGTAGGGCCTGAGTGCCAGCCTAAGAAGCTGGGACTTTGTCTCAACGGTTCTGGGGAGTCATGGCAGGGCTGTGAGTAAAGGAAGGACAGGCTCAGCTTGGGGGTGTAGATAGACTGCTTTGAGGCTCTGGGGTTGTGGGGGGAGGGTGGACTGAGGGGAGAGACTGGAGGCCCAAAGGCCAGAGAATGAGAGTCCACTGGGGAGAGGATGAAGCCTGAGCGGGGGCCAGGGTGGTAGGGACGAAGAAGAGGGAGTCAGGGCAGGAGGGATGGGGCTGGGAAGTAGCAGACTGTGGGGAAGGAGGTGATAAAGATGGCCCTAGAGGTCTGGCTCCGTGACTGAGGGCTTATGGGACTTGTCCCTGACAGGGGGAACCTGGGAAATTTGGAGGGAGGACACTGAGCCAAGAGTTAATGCCTCTCACATGAGGACCTGGGGTTTGGCACTTCAGGGCTGGAGGCAGGTCACTAACGGTCCTGTTTCAGGGGTGGAAGCCCGGTGAGGGCGGTGGGCCGCTGGCCCAGCTGTCTGTGCACTGTCCTGCAGAGTGTTGAGGGTGAGCAGCACGAGAAGGCCGTGGAGCTGCTGAAGGCGGCCCAGGGCTCAGTGAAGCTGGTGGTGCGTTACACACCTCGTGTTCTGGAGGAGATGGAAGCCCGCTTTGAGAAGATGCGCTCTGCCCGCAGGCGCCAGCAGCACCAGAGCTACTCGTGAGCTTTTTGGCACCACTCCCCTGGGGCCTCCACTACCTCCCTTATCCCCAGACTGCCGGACCAGGCCAGCGATTCCTGGAACCTTGATTGCCAGCCCCAGCCATGGCTCCTCTTCTGGGATCCTGACCCTTTACCCCTGACCCAGACTCTCACCCAAGCCATTCTGGGTAAAGCCCCTTGGGAATTCTTAGCTGACTCCCATTCCAAGATCTGGAAACTCTTCAACCCACTTCCCTGAGCCCTGGGTTCTGCAACCCAACCCCTAGCTCTTACCTCTCCATCCCCAGGTCCCATACCCTGAGCCTGGCTCCCTTCTCCTCACCCTCCTTGCAGGTCCTTGGAGTCCAGAGGCTGAAACCACAGATCTGCACCCCCCTGCTCACCCCATCTCCTGTACAGTATTTATTGTCACCTGCTCCTTATTTAAAGATCTTTGAACCTCATTGAGTGTTTGTGTGTCTGTTCTGGGTCTTGAGATGTGGGGGAGGGAGGAAGGGAAACTGAGTTTGAGACCAGGCCTTGAAGAAGCTCTTTTCAGAGTCCAAGAACAGAAAGAGATTTTCCCCAGGTCTGAAGGTGGAAGCTGGCCAGCTTCCTAGGGACAAGTCCAAGCGCGGAGGCTGAGACCCAGTCTGGGTCTGAGTGCGAGTTCAAACCTGAAGATGGCGCCCCCTAATCTTAAGAGACTCCGAAGGTGGAGGCCAAGCCCCTCCTGTAGCTGGTCCTACCCAGGAGTCCTGAAACGCTGCGGGAGCCAGTGGGTGTCCTCTCTGTGGGCGGGGCGGAGCGAACCATTAACCTTGTCCGCCGGGGGAGCCTTGCGTGGGAGACAGGGGTGGGGGTGCCGCGTGCAGTTCCCGAGACGGGCGCAGAGAGTGCAGAATAAGGTGCACTCGCTGACCCGGCATTCACCTCACCTTCAATCCAAGCGCGGCTCCGAGAGTCGCCCCCACCTTAAGACACAGCCCTTACTCCCACCTCGCCGCCCGCTCAGCCCCTCCTGTCCCGTGCGGCGCGAGGGCCGCCGCGCGCCGCCGCCGCCGGGATCCGGGGTCTCGACTCGCGTTCCACGCCGCGCGCCACTCGCTCCAGGTGACATCATCTCCCTGCCGGGCTCCGCCTCCCGCCCCAGCTGCCTCACGCCGCACCCCTATTGGCCGACAAATCTTGAGCCCCGCCTCCCGCTCTCCGCCCGCGCGACCCCTCCCGGCCCGTGCGGAGGCGGGGTTTATCCTCCGGCCGGCGCCGACGCTTTATCCCATTGGTCACTCGGACCCGTCTGTCAGTCTCCTGTTAAAGGGGCCACGTCCGCCCGGGAGCTGTTGGGGGGGAGGGAGGAGGAAATTTTTTGGGGGGGAAGGTGGGATTTTTGGGGGCGCTGGTGGGCACCCCTGGATCTGGCGGCTGCGGCCTCGTGGGGGGGAGGCTTAACGGTGACAGGGGTAGGGGGCTATTTTAGGGGGTAGAGGGCTGTAAGACTGTGAGAGGGAGGGGGGTCCCCAGCGCCCGAGCCGGAGCAAGAGACGCGGAGCCCGCGCGAGCGGCGGAGACAGGGCTCCGGAGATACAGATCCGGGCCCCGGCCGCCGCCAGGGGCCCCGCCCGGTCCCCCCACCCCACCCCACGTCCCTCCTGCAGCCCAGCTCCGCCCGCAGCCGCCGCGGACCAGGTAGGTAAGAGCCCGGCCCGGCCTGCCAGGCAGCGCCCACCCCGGGGACCCCTCGCCGAGCTTCCGTCGCCTCCCCGAGATCCTGGATTCCCTTCTTCATCCCCGGGGACCCCACAGCCCAGATTTCACAGCCGAACCCCAGAGAGTCAGGCGTGTCCCTCCTGGCTCTCGGAGTCCCCAACCGAACCCTAGAATCCCAGGCGTACAGTCGCCTTGCGCCTCCTCCAGGGCCCAGGAGCCTGGATTTCAGTTCCACCCTGGGAACCCCTCTGGATCTAGATCCTCCTCCTCGGCCCAGTCCAGAGAGCTCCAGACACCGCCGGGGCTGTGGCACACTCTCCCGGCGAGGGTCGCCCGTCCCCCGTCGCGTCCGCATAGTCCCCCATTCGCGCACCCATCTCCAGCCCTCCGGCTTGGGCAGCCGGCTTCGTCCCTCAGTCCAGGCCGGCTCGGCGGCCGCCCTGGACACAGGCCCGCTCTGGAGCTGTCCATGGTCAGCGCGCTCGGCAGCCTCGCCTCCCCCACCTCCTGCTGCCGCCGCCAGAGAGGGGGCGCCGGCGGCGCGGGGATCCCCCCCGCCGCGCCTTTGACCCGGGGATACCCGGGCCCTCCCCGACACGGGCGCCGGGACATCAGGGTTCGGCTGGCCGAGCTCTCGACCCAGTCCTCAGCACCTCAGGTTTCCGGGACCCCAGCACCTTCCTAAGGAGTCAGAGCTTCTGAATGTTCCTGCTCTGTCCACCTTAGGGACATGAGCATCCGGGGATCCAGGTTCCCAGCCTTTGCCCCCTTTAGACACCCAGCTCAACAGTCCCTCTGCTCCTCAGGCAAATATACCCAGCTTCCTAGAACCCCAGCCTCTGCCCTTTAGGGATTCAGGCGCCATGACTCTCTCGTTTTCAGGGACCCAAATGCGATTGTTAATGCAATTCTTAGGCATCTTCCCGCACCCCACCCCCTCCCGCCCCCGGAGACCTAGATGTCTGTCTGAGTCCTGCATCCCCTCGGGGACCCAGGCGCTCAGGGCCAAGCTTCTGTACCGGCCACCAGCCTATACTGAGGCCGCCTGCCCCAGCTCTCCTTCCCAAACCCCTGTCCTTTAGCTCCACAAGGATTCAGGCGTCCAGACCCCCAGCTCTGCCCTCCTTCTGCCCAGGTATCTAGCTCCTCATCTCTTACTCTTAGGAACCCAGGTCCCCACAGCCTCACGTTCCCCTTATCAACTTGACATCTGCCAGTGGCCTTGACAAACTCCTGTCTCATCCCCATTTCATCTCAGCTGCTGGGCTCCTGGGACTCTATTTTCTCCCCTGAGACCCAGCATCCTGAGCTATTTCCAGCACTCCATTGCCTTCTAAGGCCCATATTGTGATGTCCTATCCTCTAAGTACATGCTCTGAAGCTATGAGCCAAACACGCATGCTTTCCTCTTAATGTGTTCTGTGAGCTAGGCTCATTAGATGATCCAGAACCTACTCACTGTCTTCCACATTTCCAGTTAAATAGTACCCTTGCAATGCTCCACATTCAAGATTCCTTCTGGACCCCAGAACACTCCCAGTCAACACCTCCGTTCCATCTTACCCAAGGCGAATACGAAGTTCTAGGCTAGATGCTAAATTCAAGCCAAAGTCTGATCCCACCATCTCCCTAAACATGTTCCAAATTTTTAGACACCAAAATCTCCTTGCTTAACCTTTGCTAAAATTTCATTGTAGGTATGTTCTAGGTTCCAGCCACATCCTTGTCATTGTTTTACATTCTGTTCTCTTCCTAGGAGCATTCTAAGTTCTAGAATGTGTGTCTTCCACTTGTGTGCTCTTCTCTTTCTCTGAATTGTGCTATCAATCCTACAATGCACTTTCCTGCTTTAGGTTCCATCCAATTCCACAGTCTTAAATCTAGAGGATTCCCACCAAAGCATTCTACCTTATATCTTCCTTCCCCAGGTTCCAGGTTCTTGGCCCATTCATTCCCACCATCTCTGTTCACCTCTTCTTTAGTGTGATGTTAGTTTAGAACTTGTCCCCTGGTTGGATGGTGGGCTTCCTCCTCTACCAGTCACTTCAGCACCCTAAGCATGCTCTAGGCTCCCCCCTCTTCTGGAGTCTTCAGCCTAGACGTGTCCTCATTTCCAGAACACCCCATCTCGCCTTTGCCAGCTCAGTCCTTATGCCAGTAAATTCTCAATTCCCAGCATGCATTCTTCTACATCTTCCCGCAGGCACGACTAAGTTCCAGGTATACTCCTTGTTCCTTTCTAGGTTTTTCTCCACCTCCAGGGCATGTTCTGAATTCTAGAGCATATCCTTTTCATTCGGAGTTCTAGCACTATCTAGACACATGATAAAACCAAAAAAGCAACCGCTGCTGTACTCTATGTTGTACCTTCACCCCTGGTAGGTGTTGAGTCCTAGATTATGTCTCCTGGCTAGGTTTGTTGTGCATCGTATTAGGTATATTCTTAGATATCATTCTGAGGTCACCCAGTTGCTCTTCAAGTTACTGATTGCATTTGGCTGGTTCAAAGTTCCAGATGTGGCTTCTAGAATATGCTCTGCGTGCAACTCCTACCCGACGCGCACCGTAAATGTGGAAGTGTATGTCCATTTTTGCACTCTGTACTGCGTCTACCTGCCAGTGGCTTTTTTAGAGTTTTGTCCAGCCTTGCTGTGTGTTTTTTTTATTATTTTTTTATTTTTTAGTGAATTCAACGTTCTAGAATGCCCTCCCTAAAACATCCTATCTTGCATCTCCGGAGTAGGCTCTGAGTTTTAGATACCATGTTGGTTTCTGGTCTAAGGCTGGCCTGCCCTCTAATAAACATAGTCCTGATTCTGGCCTCTGAGTGCTGGGATACAGGTGTCTAGATTCTCAGATGTGCCTGTTCAAAGACCCAGGGGACTGAGCTGCCTCCTCCCCCAGGTTCCGGGGCCCTCGGTCCTCTCCTCTCCACACTGGAGTCCAGGGCCCCAGTCCCAGGCTTTGGACACAGTCTGAACATTAGGTGGGGCTGGGAAAGATCTACCCGCAGAACCGGTTATGCCAGTGCCTGAAGGGAGAGAAGGGAAGGAGGGAATGGAGTGAAAGTCCCTCCTGCTTTCGGCTGGGCCAGCTGGACCTGTCCAACCTGATGCGGGCCAGGGAGAGGTGCAGGAGAACTCGATTAGTCTCTGCTCACAGCTTGTGCACCCAAACTCCTGGGTCCTAGGAGCCTGGACTGCCGGGTTCTGGGGGAGAAGGGGTCTGAAGGCTGGAGTTCTGAATCTAAGGTTGGAGGTTGAAAGCCCAGACTCATGTCCCAGGGGAAGAGGAGGTGTTGTCTCTGACTCCTGGGGTTGGAAGGAGGGAGCTGGAGGCTCAGCCTCCTGAGTCTGGAGGAAGGAACTCCAGGACCTAGACTCTTGGGACCCGAGGAAGGAGAGAGCTGGATCTTGGACACCTGCGTCGTGGGAGATGGCTAGCCCGCCCTGCCCTCTGCCATGCTTCTCCCCACCCCCAAGCGGAGTGGGTCTTTAGATTCTGCTGGAGCTGAGGTCCAGATGAGAAATTGAAGGAGAGGGGAGTTGAGCTGGATAGCAGGTAACCACGTACTGGTGACCTAATTCTGTGACCCCAGTGTTCAAGTCATGGTTCTCAGCTGGGGCTGTTTTCTCACTCATGCAGTGGGTTGAGGGAGATTCTCAGCGGGGCCATAAGAGGTAGAGACTGACTTTTCCACATTTGCTCAGGCAGTGCCTGGGTCACCTGGCTTCGGTTGGTCTAGAGTAGGCCTAGATTTGCTGCTAGTACCTGAGGGAGTCTGACCTCGGTTTCCCCAAACACTCTCACCCAGTTAGCCAGGACTGGTTTCCTGAGAGCAATGGGTTACAGTTTATCCTGCGACTTGATCGGAATGCACAGGCCTCAATTTCTTCTGGGCAATGAATGCCTGGGTGGTCCTGCCTCAGTTTCCTCTATGTAGTATCAGAGTGGCCATGTCTCAGTTTGTGCCTTGACGAGGCCGGTCTCTGATCCCTGCCCTTTCCCCGCACCTGCAGGCCAGCACCGCCGCCATGATGTGCGAGGTGATGCCCACCATCAGCGAGGATGGCCGGCGGGGCTCGGCGCTGGGCCCGGACGAGGCGGGCGGCGAGCTGGAGCGCCTCATGGTCACGATGCTCACGGAGCGCGAACGCCTGCTGGAGACGCTGCGCGAGGCGCAGGATGGACTGGCTACGGCGCAGCTGCGGCTGCGCGAGCTGGGCCACGAGAAGGACTCGCTGCAGCGACAGCTCAGCATCGCGCTGCCCCAGGTCTGGGCGGGGCCGGGGCGGAGCCTGGACACCGAAGGGGCGGAGAGGGCGGTCCGAAGGCGCGGAGAGGGCGGCCCGAAGGGGCGGGCCTTGGCGCTTTGAGGGGAGGAGTCAGCAGGGCTGGCCTAGCCGGTAACGGGCAGGACCTGAGCCGCTGGAAGGGGCGGGGCTTAGCAGGGGGTGGGACCTTCAAACTCTCCGTTCGGTACGACGGGGGAGATGGGGAAAAGATTGATCTGTTTGTCTCGATCTTGTTCACATCTGGACAGGAGTTTGCGGCTCTGACGAAGGAGCTGAACTTATGTCGGGAGCAGCTGCTGGAGCGGGAGGAAGAGATTGCAGAGCTGAAGGCGGAGCGGAACAACACGCGGGTGAGTGTCGTTGGGGGCGGGGCCTCGCGGTGTTGCTGCCTGACCCATCCTTCTTCCCGGTCTCGCCTTCCTGTCTTCTCCCTGCTCCCACCTCTTGGCTGGTGCCCTCTGGTCCCCTCTTTCCTTCCTGTCCCCTCCCCTATCTCCATAACGATCTCTATTACTGTACCACTTTCTTGACCCAGCCCCTACCTCGGATAATCCCTTCTCTTCTCCTGACTTGTCTCGCTCCACCTCTTTCTCTTTCTCCATGAGTCCAACCCACCTATCTAAACCACATTTTCCCTCTATTCTGCCTCTCTTCCTTTGTCTATTTTGCCCGGTGCCCTATCCCTGTAGCTTCTACTGGAACACCTGGAGTGCCTGGTGTCCAGGCACGAGAGGTCACTGCGCATGACCGTAGTGAAGCGCCAGGCCCAGTCCCCAGGAGGGGTCTCATCCGAGGTGGAGGTGCTCAAGGCTCTAAAATCCCTCTTCGAGCACCACAAGGCCCTGGATGAGAAGGTATGAGGATGGAAGAGCCTGCGTGCACAGGGGAAACCGTGCGTGGCTGGGGCTGTCCTGAATTGGTTGGGGATGTTCTAAGTGGGAGAAAAGTTGACTCGGATTGACTGGCTTACGCAGACTGAGACCTGACTGGTTGCGAATGGAAAAATGAACTAGGATGGGGCTTCCAGTGGGTGGGGCGTCTTTGGTAGCCGGTTGGGGCCGCACATCCAT